ACCAAGCTGAACAGCACTGGCTGCAGGACTACAGCTTGGCTCTAACAAGATTTAAGGTTTGCATCAATATTTATACGGTTTAACTACTTAGCTGGATCCAAAGAGTATGTGTACACACACACACAAACCTACCTAAGTCTTGTGCATTACATTACTTATTACCAACTAATTGATGAGCCAAGAACATAATATTCACACTACAAACAACGTACACAAAGGTGTAGTCATTTTGGCACACACACAAGGCTAACAGTCAGTTAAGAGGACATGTACTAGTGCAACATGTTACATTTGCTCTATTATGAAGGTAAAATGTTTGTTTTTGGCCAGTGCAAACAGAGAATTCTTATTCACAGATGTCAGGCACATGCCCCCAGAATACATGCATCACTGAAGGCAGGGTTATGTTATGCTTTGAATACCATACATGCAGGCACAAAGAATTAAAATTAATTTTATAACTATGAAAAGCCTTAAGGAAAAAACCTATCAATTACAACTTTAAAGTTTTGGAGGAAGATACATGAGGATTTTCTCTACAAATGGTTACAGATGGCTGGGATACCTTTCACCTGCAAGTCAAATCCATAGTAGTCATTTGCCTTTTTGTTCTGCCTAATTCCAGCTACCATGAAAAATATTAATTGAGCCAATAGAGGGGAAATATGGATGACTGAAATGCTAATTTGTGAATAAAGCTTTGTATAATGATAAAAAACCGTCAGAGGAATTTTTAATTTAGGTAAGGTCAGTAAAATACATACTTCAGTACAAAATATCTTTGAAGGACCATCTCTATGCTGATAAAAAACACAAGCTGTGATATGTGAGTAATTTTGAAATTGTGCTTTCCCTTTCCTAAATGAAAAGTAGATAGAAATACTGTAGGCTTAAAAAGAAAACGGGGCTAGATTTTAGTCACTGTCCAATATTCAACATTTCCCTTGGGATTCCAAATATTTGATTATAATTAATGACTGGTGTTCACATAGGACTATTGAAAGAAATTAAGCTTTTTAATGTTTGCTTCTCTGTAACATTATTGTGATAACTTTGATAACCACAAAGAGCAAGGCAATAATTTTTATTTTTGATATTTCCACACTGATGGTTGCAAAACTCTCAACTGAAGATCATGGAGTGACTAGAGGGAATTAGTAAGCAAGCACTAATAAGAAAACCCCTTTTGACTTCTGCATATTTAATTTTAAAAATAGGTTATTTTTAGAAAATTATTTGTAAGGACTATTTATTTGCCTCAATAAGGGTTTTTATTTCTTGTCCTCAATCTTGCAAAGGTTTTGATGGTCAGGTAAAGTCTCAGTGGACATACAGGTAAGATTGTGTACTGCCACAGTATTTAAATAAAGTTTGAGTTTGTTCTGTAAGGCAGTTATTTCTAAAAGCTTTCTGATCACATTTCTTTTGGTAGCATGTTCTGCAGTAATGAAAAAAAAGATAATTAGGAACAATGGGGTTTTATAGAAGTTGTCACATAGGACAGTGCTGCATAGTGTAAGCTGCTGAAAATCAGGCTGGAAATTTAGATAGAATGAGTTGAGATGCCCCAAAAAAAGAGATGAGAGTAAACCGCCTTAGGTACCCATGTCCTTACTTCAGACATTAGTTATAGTCTGCAGCATGGTGCACAGGAAGACAATATGCTCTAGAACAATTCAAAGGCTGAAAATGGGGAACCTCCTGCACCTCCCCAGCTGTCCCTTCCCATCACCTTTGAGGTACCAGCGGTACTTACTGTCCTGAGAGTTGAGGGAATAGCAGACGAATAAGAAAATGTACTTTGTCTCATTCCCAAGCAGGCCTGGAACTTAAGAGCGAATAATCAAGCTAGCATTTAGACTTTTAATTTCTGAGAGATCTTAGTGGAGAAGTACGAGCTTAAGTAGGTGGCTGAACCCCTAACACACAGCTGCATGCAGTGCTTTTATTCATAGCCATTATCTTTCGCACCAAGTATAGTAAAAGAGAAAAATCTTTACAAAGTACTATCTTTCCAACCACAACTTTTCTTTCTAACTGTCATATCAGAATGACTTCTTTTCATGCACTACTTTGAGGTTTAAAACTATCAGACTGTAGAAACAAACAAGAAACAAAGAAGTGTGTTCCTGAAAATAAAATACTGCTATCTGAACCATCTTCTCAGGTCCTGATCCCAAGCTTACCATGCCATTGAAAGAATTTCAAAGTTTGCATCACGTCTTTACAAAGTGCTTTGGTTCACGGCAGGGATTTTATAATGCACAAGCAGTGCAAAGTAAACTCTGGCAGAACCCCAGCACGTTCCATCAGCCTCTTTTAAGTGAACAGAGTAGCTCAATTTCTAGACAGTGTCAGCTTGGATCTGTCTGCACTCTCAATTCCTTTGCATGCCTTCTACCTTATGAATGTCTTGGTCTCACTCACTTTGAACTAACAACTTAAACCTAATTAGACCTTAAAACTTTCCTAACCAACCACTCTTCCTACGTGGCAACATTCTGGCATTATTGGCACTCAGTACTTGGGTACCTGAGAAAGCCTGTCCCTTGTGCCCCTCAGGTTCAGTGTCACCTGATATGCCAGAAAAGGCAGCTAGCTAGCAACAAACAGCCAGACCAACAGGGCTCTGCAGAAGGCTGGACTTCACCCTTTATTCAGGCTGGGTCCAGACTTTTTCAGTTACCACTGAGTTATGAGTCAAGTCTTAAAGTCAATGGAATAAACAGGGACACTGGTTTTACCTGTAGCTTAGCTGAAGGATTTATCAAGTGTTAGAGGCTCAGCCTTTTTATTCATAAAAAACCAGGACTGTCCTGGAGCTTTCTTCAGATGCACAGGCACCAGTGACATGCAAGAAGGTTCTCTACATTTAGACAGTTCACTACCATGCCAGAATAATTCCGCCATTGTCGATATCAAGTATGCTAATTTCTGCTTTGGGGTGTGACAGGTCACCAGTGTAACCAACACACGAGTGGATAATCCTTCATTCCATGGACATTTTTCTTCAAGAACACAGGGTAACTCTTGTAAAAGGTTCACAAAGTTGGACGTTTCTCATCCTGAGCATCCTTACATACACCAAAAATCTTCCAGAGCTGTCCATGGGAAAAGCCATTTAAACCTTTACAAGAACGTGTGCTGAGTTTTGGCAAACTTCCCTCCCTCTTAAAAACAAAAGCCAAAATAAATTATAAACAAACAAAAAAATCTCCAAGTCCACAAGGAAGCCCTTGCCTTTTGTTTGCTATTGTTGTTTTGGTTTCAGGATGATGTATGGGCTCAAATGGTTATTGAAGGCAAAGTTACAAGAAGGGCTACCACGCAATCTCAGCAGAACAAAGTATGAACAGAGTAAGGGCTGAAAACCAGCGCTCCCTTTCCATACATTGGCCAAATACAAACTGTTGACCTGCACGGCACATGACAGCACCCACTGCTCACCTAAATGTATGTACTCTGAGTGGGATGCTGATACCGGAGAGGGGAGAGGGAGAGCAATACATCTATTAACCTTTATTCAGAGTTGAACATGAAAATCAGTGCATGATTTTTGAAAGAAAGCAAAGCAGAACTGCAAACAGCTGGTTTTGAATACTGAGTAGCTTTCACAACTTTAGAGAATCAGGGTAATACATCAGGTACTTGTTCAGCTCTTGCAGAAAATTGGAGCGGCCTTTTCTCCACTTTTCAGCCAATATTTAAAAAAAGCTTATTTTTATTCCAATTAATTTCTTTTGGTATTCTAGGCCCCAGGTAGGTCACACTCAGCTGCCTGTACCTTAAGCCTGTGGGACTGATTCTCCTGGTAACAGTGGAAAGCCAGCCCAGCAATACTATTACTCACAAGTGAGGCAGCAAAAGTGAACAAAGAATCCAAGCCCTTGGCTTAAAACAAATCTAACATAAAAAGTAGCCCACTTATAGTGGCATATTTTTTGTGGGGAAAATGCATCTAATTACATAGATATTAATTGTAACTGTTCTTATTCCAAGGGGCTATAAGATGTCCCTACATATATTAGAGCTTAAAAGAACTATGTGCCAACATATGTGCACAATAACATTCATGTAATAGCAATCTGATTGGCAGTGTTTAGTCAAAACCAGTATTTCAAAGCATTATTAGTTTAATGCCCCCTTCATTTCCAATGTGAGGCAGTGCAAACTTGAAAAGAGACTGTAAAAAACCTTAACAGACTTTCCTAGTAATGTCTTGTTCCTCACCTCTCAGGTTAGTATAATAGCTCTATCCAAATCCAGCCAGTCAGAACCATGCTACGGTACACACAGTAACAAGCACAAAGTACAGACAGGAGGAAAGTAAGGGCTGGTATTTTCCACCTTTTTCTGTTGACATAAAATACTTTAGAACCTATACTGTCCTAGAAATAACTTTTTTTCAGTTTTTCCATGAGTGGTGTACGACAATTACAGGATAGCACCTAGTATATTACAACCACTTACTCCCCAATAGTATATTGTTGAATGTTTCAAGGAAAGTGCCAGATCCCATATAAGACATTTTAAAAAAAAATCCAAAACAATAGTCAAATTAAACTGCATAAGTAGTAGGATATTCTTCAGAAAGACTGCTATGAAAGACCCTCATTTCAAGAGGTTCTTTTGGAATCCTCAGGGCAACTGGACATCTAGGAATGTTTGAGATACTTTGCTTGAATGGACAAAGTGTGGTATAACTGCCCTTGACTTCAGCTTTGTTGTTTGTTGGGGATTTTTTGTCTAAATCTCAACAAAATGATGTATTTTTGTACCTATATATTTATTTATTTTTGCCAATATATGCATGAGGAATGTAATGAAGTGGCATTGTGCTGCTAGTAGCTCAGCAGATGTTGAAATCAGTTCCAGTTCCTGAAGACAACTTCTTGACAACATAGTCTCAACATTCACAATAACCAAAACGTGGGATTCAAAACATCATTCTTACAAATATATACTCTATCCCCCTCTGTGTTGTAAACCCTCAGCCTTACTTGTTTCCTTGTACTTTATGATCGTATGTGCCTGCATGCTTATAACCAGATACATATCCTGAGTTATCCACCAGATCTTCTCGGCCAGCTCTGCCTTTTCCTTTCCCACTGGCATCAAATCTCTCTTTGTGAGAACCCGTGAATTTTGAAGTATCTGTAAGGCGTGATACAGTTGGAGATGAAACGGTTTTCTATTAAAGAAACAAAACAAAAACACGCATCAGAAATCAATCATTCTTAATACAGATATTTGTACATGTAACCAACACTTAAATATTTCCTAATGGCAAAGACTATGTATATACTCATTTCCAGCAAAAGGAGACAAAAAATATTTGTTTCTTGCCATTACATACAATGACAATAATCATATAGCACAGAAGAAAATAATACAAATTATGTCAAAACCTTTTGGAAGAGACTTTGAGTATGAGATACTTCTGATTAATAATAAAGTTCTAAGCACCAAAGATATGAAGAAGTCATAGGAAACAGCCATGTTCAAAATCCATTATGTCAACATTGAAGCATAAAAGCCTGGCTCCATCAATACAGGAAAAGTAAACCAATACAGCTAGCTCTTAAAACATACAGTTTTCTTGTTCACATTGACTTGGTAGCACCTTATAACCAAGGAAGACTCTAAATGAAAGACAAAGGTAATATTCAAATATTCAAATTATATCCAAGGGCAATGTGAGAGAAAATTGTGCGCAGGTACCCCAGATACCAGCAGCAGAAGGATTTAGGAATATTTATTTCTGAAAGCCAAGAACACTGACATGATGGTGCTATCTACAAGGGGCATGAAAAAATGTGCTGCTTTTTCCTCTCCAGGCCTTTTTAAAGGCTTGCCTGCCCCCCCCTTGTGGGGCCTCCAATGTTGTCTGTAAGAATTTTATCTCTTCAGGGAGTTAACCTCTCTGTAAGGCAAGAGAAGAAAAAACATCAAACTGTCAATGGGAAGATGTTCTTTCCCAGGCAGCAAAGCTTCCTTGAGTGACATAAATCCCCCCCCCCTTGAATAATTCTTCTGAAAAAGGTCTCCTACACTTACAGGCAATTTTTCAAATAGTAATTAAACTTACCATTACAAATTCTCAGAACAGCAATCTGTCCTGAGAATTAATCTGGCAAAGGAAATGGCAGTCAACCAGAGTTTCTGAGAGTTCTCTCTAGATGGGACAATACAGTATGTGCACATCTAGGTAAAACTGATTTTCTGTAAAGTAGTGGTATTTAAATACAAGGAAAGTAAATATGTGTTAAGTTTAATTACTTTTTCAAAAAGAAAGACTACAGCTTCTGCTCCTTTATTTCAAAGGCATGGCACAAAAGATATGTAATTTGCCTCAATACACAAATTACAATAAAAATGCATGAGAATTTTTGTACAGTTACATATCTGGTAACATACATAATAAAACCTATGTGAGTGTAATATGAAAGGAAATGCATACATATTAACATGCAAGAAGAAACAGTCAAACAAAGATAATGTCCCATGTCAATAAGAAAGGATGTTCCCAGGAAACTATTCCCAGGATACCATTCCCAGTGGTAAACTTGAGCAATGTGCTGTTTATATCAAGACACCTGCATTCTAATAAAACCATAACACAGATACTTATCAGAAAATCAAGGTGTATCCTATCAACAAGATGATAGCAACAAGTTTGCAGTATGCCACAAAAGCCTTTACGTTTCCTATTAGTCTCCTAGGAAAGCAGCAACATATTTCAAACCAAATAAGAAAACTGAGGGTGGGCAACAGCTTGGCAGATTAAAAAATATGATCTTTTTGTCCCAGAAAACAGTTAAACAAAACCTAAAACCCCAGCACAAGGAGCAGTACAAATCCAGAGTAAAAACTGGTGTGATCCCGCATCCTGTTGTCTTTCAGCCCAGGATGGATCGGAAGGCTTCCTGCATCACAGGAGTCACAATATGTGAAATGAACATCAAGGCAGTAGTTGCAAGACAAATATTCTATCTTGTAATTGATTTTTACTGAGTAAGAACTGCAGCCTTTTCTTAAGTTGCATGGGAAATTACTGGTGTAATTTTCCCATATGTGACGGAATATTACAATTGAAAGATGGCAATCCCTGTTGGTTTGCTGTTGGCAAAATTTCTATGAAATGTGAGGCTCACTTTGTTTCCAACAATACAAAATTCAAGCAATTTTAATTCCTTGCATATTATGCTCTCACTCCCTGAACTGATACATCTATCATCTATAAAAGATCAGAGATAATGAGATGCCACTACAAGGCTATGCAGAACACCCCATTTCTCATTTTTCTTCTTTGTTTTCATCATTCTTATGACAAATGCATATCCATTAAAAAGAAAATACTACTTTCTCTTTAAGGTTGTGTGAACATTACACAGAAAGGCCAAGTGCAATATAAGCATCCTTTTAAGATGCTTTCATTCAAAAAAGCTTTTGTAAATACAGAGTAGAATACACAATGACTTCATACCCACCTTGGACTCCTCAACCAGAAGCACTAGTGGTACTGTATATTACAGAATCACAGAAACATTTAAGCTGGAAGAAATCTCCAAAGGTCATCTTGCCCAAACCCTCAACCCGCATCTAGAGACAGTTGTCCATGATCATGTCCAGACAGCTTTTGCATATATCCAAGGATGGAGACACAGGAAATTCCCTGGGCAATCTGTGACAGTGCTTGGTCACCTTCACAGTGAAAGAGTGTTTCTGGATGTTTCAACAGAACCTCCCATGCTTCAGTTTGTGCCCATCACCTCTCGTCCTGTCACTGGGCACTACTGAAAAGAGCCTGGCTCCATCTTCTTTTGCACCCTCCCTTCAAGGATGGATGAGATTCACCCTTGAGCCTTCTCTTCTCCAGGTTAAATACTCACAGCTCTCTCAGTCTTTCCTCATAGGAGAGATGCTCCAGTCCCTTCATCATCTTTATGGGTCCCTTGCTGGACTCTCTCCAGTAGCTCTACATCAGTCTTCTACTGGGGAGCTTAGAGCTGAACGCAGCACTCCAGATGAGACATCACCAGTGCTGAGCAGAGAGGAAGGAATACCTCCCTCTGTTTGCGTGGCAATACTTCTAACGCAGCCCATACCAGTAGCCTTCCATGTGGCAAGACCACCTCTCTGGTTCACGTTCAAATTGGTGTTCACTGGGACCCCTAGGTCCTTTTCTACCAAGCTGCTTTCCAGCTGGGTGGCCCCCAGCATGTACTGGTTGGGGGCTTGTTACTCACCAGGTGCAAGACTTTGAAAATCTCCTTGCTGAGCTAGTTGAGATTTCCTGTCAGCCCATTTCTCCAGCCTGTTGGGTCCCTCTGTACAGCAACATCTGCATGACCTATCAGCCACTCCTCCCAGCTTAGTGTCATCAGCCAACTTGCTGAGAGTAGTCTCTGCCCTAACATGCAGATGATTAACGAAGATGTTAAATAAGACTGGACTCAGTATGGTCTGCACCACTAATTTCCAGCCGCCAATTATACTTTGCACTGTTCATCACTACCCTCAAGGCCCAGTCATTCAGACAGTTTTCAATTCACCTCACTGCCCATCCAACCACTACAGCACCGGCTTGAGGGGCTGTGAGACTCTTATGAGAGACCATACCAAAGGCCTTACTGAAGTCCAGGTAGACACTATCCACTCCCCTTATGCACTGGGCCAGTCATTTAATTGTAGAAGTTTACCAGCTTGGTCAAGCATGACTTTCCCTTGGCAAAGCCATGCTGATTACTCCTGATGACTTTCTCGTCCTTCATGTGCCTGGAAATTATTTCTAGGATTAGCTGTTCCACTACTTTCAGTGTCCTGAGGTTAGAAGTTTATTCATAAAGATTCCTCTATGAGTTGATAACTTATTTTTAGTGAACTGCCTTTATGAACTGAATGTGCAACCAACTCTTTTTATCAAAATCCCTTTTCTGTTTCTGAACAACAAAACCAACTATGTAGACTAAACTGGAAGTTGAGCAAAAGGCAAAAAAATTAAAAGGGTAGCTGTGAGCTCATTCTTCTGTGCAACCCATCTGCTCATTATTAACTGCACAATGGTACTGGGAGGCAAATAAAAAAAGGGAGTGGGAAAGCTGACCATCCCTCCTAAGTGAGGAAAAATGTAGTAAGAAATATAGTGAAGAGCACAGAGGGCTGGATGAAGACAGTTTCCATGTTAGCAAGTCACTGCTCTTCCTTCTTTTTCACAATGAATCACACACAAATGATTCTGTCTTGCCATATAGCAATAGCTTGAACTGTTTACTTTCTAGAGTAAGTTATATAATCTCTCTAGTTACATTATTCTAAAGGCAATAAATTCCTTCAGGCCAACCTCCTCCCTTCCTTTCTGTTGAGATCACAGAAGCCAGCATTTTCATTCTCATTCATACAGTTAACCAAAGTTTTCATATCACAGAAGATGCACATGATTTTTTTTTTAAACTTTCTCCTAAGAGAAAAGATTTACTTAGCAAAACAGAATCACATATAATCATTAAATGTTCCAAAATGAGTTTACACAGTGAATCAACTAAAGGAATTTTCCAAAAATAGCAAGATTTCTCTGTTCTCCAAGATCAACCATTCTTCTCTTCACTCAGTTATTTCCATTAACACAAGCCAGCAGCTACAGTTTCAGTGTCTTTGACTCTATCAAAAGAAGAGATCACTGACAAAAGACATGTTTATTCATCAAACTTTTTTTTTACTGGTCTGGGCCACTGTACTCCCCCAAATCTTAAAAAAAATATTTTAAAAATGGCTTTTGCTCCTTCACTGTCAGTTTCCAACCAAAGATGTGCTCACATGACCTCCAAGTTCACAAAAATATCTCAGTTGAGTCAGGAAAGGTATGTATGTCTCCCGCCTCATTTAACTGAAACTCCTCACACACTAAAACCTCACTGAGAAGATCATAACAGGCCACAGCCTCAGGACCAGCTACGGGGAAAATAAGAAGCCATTTTACTTGGACCATTAGATTTGCTAATTTAAAGCAGTCATGCGTTTTTTGTTAGCAATTCAGTATTTTTCCTCACCTTGTGTCACTGTCTACAGAGATGTGCTGCTAAGACAGCAAGGGCCTTGGAGCATGCAGCACACATGGAAAAGATGACAGAAGGGTGTTTATTCAGACTCAGAAGAAAAAAAGGAGAGGCAAATCTTACTCCTGTCCTCAAC